AAAATTTTTGAAGGATATTGGACTATCATAAGCTGTAAATTGTGTAATTAGTCGGCAACTGAAGTACTTGCGATTGTAACTTCTTACTGCCACCGTAGGAGCTCTCCTTTCCCTTTGGAATGCAGCAGTGGTTGAATTAGGATTCTTTGCAACTTTTCTGAACTCTGGGTAGGTAACAATATTTTTCTGTTTGGTTGAAGAACTTTTCACAATGCGGGGCCGGTGAAAAAAGGGGAGAGATCTTATCGGGTATTCTCGACTCCTGAGCTAAACTCACACGAGCCGTCGGATGCTATAGGTTTTATTTGACGTCTGCATGATTTAACGGCTCATGTGAGTTGGGTTACCATGAGCATGGAGCATTTAATATCTTTCTTTGCAAAAGCAGATATAAATCCTAAGGAATCAATCAAAATTCAGGGAAAAGTACCAAAAAATTTCTAAATCTATTGCATTGGTACCAATTCAGTTCTAAATCTTTCAATTGGATTAATTTAGTCTTAAATCTTTTCGCATTGGTACCAATTCAATTCATTTGGCCAATGTAGGTGGGAAATCACAGATGTGGATGTCGACGGTTTTATGTGGCATGATCGGCGCTGATATGGATCAAATTTATAATTTTTTATATTTTTTTTTCGGAATTTTTTTTTATTGTTTTAATGTTTTTTTCTCTCTTCTTTTCTGTCTTTTTTCTTTTTCTAAACACTGTTGGCCGGTGACCTCGCAGGCCGACCATCGCAAGCTATAGCCGAGGGGCCGGTGACCCTCACCTAGTCTGGGCGAGGGCCGTCGTGCCCTCGCTCGTGGCGGGCGAGGGCGTCGCGGCCCTCGCCACCCAACAGGTGAGGGTTTCGGCCCTTGCCGGGATCTGGGCGAGGGTGCGGCGGTCCTTGCCCGTGGCCCGTGAGGGCGCAGAGGCCCTCGTCCAGACCAGCCTATGGCCGGCGATGGTCGGCCAGCGACCTCGCCGGCCAACAGTGTATAGAAAAAGAAAAAAGAAAGAAGAAAAGAGAAAAAAAGAAAAAAAACTAAAAAAATTTGAAAAAATTGTAAATTTTGTCTACGTCGGTGCCGGTCATGCCACGTAGGATCACTGGCATCTACGTCAATGATTTTCGGCTTAAATTGGCCGGATGGATTGAATTGGTACTAATGCGAAAATGTTTATGACTAAATTGGTCAAATTGAAAGGTTTATGACAAAATTGGTATTAATGTAATAGGTTTATGACTTTTTTGGTACTTTTCCCCAAAATTCACTTTGCATAAAAAAACTGAATATTCAAAACAAGAAAGTCTCATTAAGGGTTCGTTTTTTTTTGGATAAAATTAAGGGTCCGTTTGTTTTGTAAAAAATTTACCATTTATGGAATATGTTTTCTAGGAAGTCGTTTTCTAGGAAAATGATTTTATTTTGTGGTGTTTGGCTGAAACTTAAAAATCAATTAGAAAATGTTTTTCGTTGTTTGGTGTGGAGAATCTGATTTAATTTTCTAGAGGAAAATTCCTAAAAAAATTCAAATTTTGTCAATTATTTTTATTTTTAAATTACTTTTATCTTTTTCGTTTCAATTTTTTCTTTTCTTTCTTATTCTTTTTTCCTTCTTTCTCTCTGGCTCTCCTCTTCTTCCTTGCCACCATCCCCGTCTCCTTTCCTCTGGCGGTGACGGCCACAGGCAAGCTCTAGCTTTGGGCGAGCCACGAGCTTGCCGGCCTTGGTCGAGCTTGGGCTCACCTAGAATAGCTGAGCCTCGAGCTTGCTGGCCTGCGTTTTGGCCGGTCGCCGGGCTGTCGGCCGTTGTGGAGGCACATGGCTAGCGGAGGAAGAAAAAGAAAGAAAAGAGAAAAGAAAAAAAAGAAAAAGAAAGAAGAAAAAAGAAAAGAAAGAATTCAAAACAACAAAAAATTTGATTTAAAAAAAATATTTTTATAAGAATAAATATTTCATTAACCAAGAACTCGAGTTTGAGCGCCGAGGACTTGCGCACGATCTTTGTGGACTCGGGCCTAAGGATTGGGACTAGAGTTCGAGCGTTAGGGACCGAGCATGGCCTTTATTAATCTGAGTTCGGGTGTCGGAGTATCGGGTACGGCACAACCATCACAAAGTGTCTCGTCTCGCTAAGCCAAAGGCAATCAGTGCAAAAAGAGACTAATCATGTCCCTTAGCTTCTCTCTCACGCCATGATTCGGGAACACTTGGGGAACAAAATCCATTTTGCTCAGTATCTGCCGGACATTCGACAGATACACACGTACACACGTTCGAAGATGTCTCCTGTGTTCTCCAGATGTACTCAGCATTCGGTTGCGTGGCCTCATTAAAGAGGGAACAGTCTTCACGGGCCAGGAGCTTTACATAAAATTAGTTTATACGAGAAACTGGGTCATATGATGTCCCGATCTGTCATTTAATTATGCGAAGTCGGCAAGTGTGACGCTTTTGTCTTCTTGTTCAATCTGTTGTGCCCGTAATGGCTTCGATCTCGGGGTTCCGAATGGTCTCTCAGTATTGGAGGAAGCATGTGAATGGCATATCAGCGGTTAACATGATATCAGTCTTGCGTGATTTACTGAATTCAAATAGCATACGACTGTTCTTTCAAGTCATTAATTGGTAATCGTTTTCGGGTTGTCTCCTTTTGATTGCTTTTGGGTTCGCAAGAGTTCTTGAAGGTCCAAAAGTCGGGTCCGAGTTGTTACTTCGCTGCCTAACTTCGATCTGATCCAGTAACCCGCCTATCGTTTTCAGCTTCATTGTCAACCCGACAATGGATATCGAGGATGCATTAAAGTGCGCCAGTACATGTTAAAGTCAAGCCATACTAATTACAATTAAGGCAAGGTTTCCTTAATCAACAGCTGATGAACACGTGTTAACCACGTACGTGTGAGGAACTCCTTTGGCAAGTAGAATAAGTGACAATTGGAATCGAGTGAAATGCCATCAAATTTGCACGAATCGTTTATATCCTCTTCCCGTCATCCGCACGAAAAATTACATGAACCATTAATGGTCGATGACTCGACCGCACAATCATACCATCACGCTAAGTCACCTTCGAAAATTGATCTGAATCATGACATTTTCTTTTTTCGCATGTATGTACACAGTGCGTTTGTAGTGACCGGCATATCTCGTGCCATAATTCCTTTGAAGAATTGGCAAGTCCATATAGAGAAGACCAATGGCACAACCTGATGTGAACGAGCACTAAACTCACCACACAAAACCGCACATTGCGTCTTTCCTCGAGAAAGCTTATCGCGTCTTCATGCTTGAGAGGAACCTACTTAGCTAACCTAGTGAGGATAATGGAAAGAGAGCACGCTTAAGCTTGACAAGATCTTGCAGTCATCCTGAAAATCATTAAGACCACAGTGGAATCTTTGTTGCCTTTACAAGAACATTAGACAGAACATTCGCTTACATAATGTCCCACAAACTGTCGGGAAAAGTGTCAAAAAAGTCCTCAACCTTTTGTATTTATGCCAATTTAGTCTTAAACCTTTTTTTGGTGTCAATTCAGTCCTAAACTTTTTGTATTGGTGCCAATTCAGTTTTTCAACAAGTGAATAGCTATTAGTCGGAAGGACTGAATTGGCACCAATGTAAAAAGTTTAGGACTGAATTTGCATCAATGCAAAATGTTTAGAATTGAATTGGCACAAAAAAAAAAGGCTTAGGACTAAATTGGTACAAATGCAAAAGGTTTAGGATTTTTTTGACACTTTTCTCCTAATTGTCTGATCAACTATTGGAAAAGCTCATTCCTGCTTCCATTCTCAGCTCCAGCAGCCCAGTGATGTGAAGCTTGCAATATCAAAGATATGCACGTTAGTCTACACGTCATCCGGCAACACACCATGGATTGATCATTATCATATCCATTTGCTCTGGTCAGACCTGGTCTCTGATAGGTGCGGTTGGCTATGGTTGTGCAAAAACATCGTTGCCGGGACACAAGGGTGGTGTTGGTACGAGAAATTACAAGTTTTCGTGTGCGATGTTTATCCTTGTATGTCAAATTCGATTTATGGCACAATCAATGCTGCTACACGGAAGCAGGCTTAAATAGGGAAAAGTATAAAAAAAGTTCTAAATCTATTGCATTGGTACTAATTTAGTTTTAAATCTTTTCATATCGGTACTGACTCAGTCCATCTGGTCAATTTAGGTCATAAATCACTAACGTGGATGCCGATTGTCCTACATGACACGGCCAGTGCCGATGTGGACTTCTTTAAATAATATTTTAAAAATAGTTCTCTTTTTTCTTTTTTTTTTTCCTTTTCTTTCCTTTGGCCTATGGCCAGCGAGGGCATCGCGGTCGAGGGTCAAGCCCTCGCTAGATTCGGCGAGGGCGGCCCTCGCCCAAGTTGCGAGGGTCGAGCCCTTGCTAGATTCGGTGAGGGTGACCCTCGCCTGTGGCTGGCAAGGGCTGTGATGCCCTCGCTAGCCCTGTCTGTGGCTGGTTGCGGGCCATGGCTGAGTATTGGCCACAGGCCAAAGGAAAGAGAAGGAAAAAAAGGAAAAAAAGGAAAAAAAGAAAAAAAAAAAAAAGGGAAAAATTATTAAAAAATGTCAACATCAGTGCCGGTTGTGCCATGTAGGACAGCTGGTGTTCACGTCAGCGATTTCCGGTCTAAATTGGCCGGATGGATTGAATTGGTATTAATGTAAAATGATTTAAGACTAAATTGGTTCAATTAAAATATTTAAGACTGAATTTGTACCAATGCAATATGATATGACTTTTTTGGTATTTTTTCCGGCTTAAGTAGTACTTGTACCAAGTTAGAGGAGAAAGAACAAATCTTCCTATGGATTTTTGTCGATTCAAAAGGGTTTATTAATGGGCCCGCAAGCTGAACGTAGCTGCACTCCTTTTCTCCCACATTCTTCTAGGTGAAAAGATTTGCTTGAAATAGAGACGAGCACTATAAATACACAATGACTCGAATGGTATCGACTTCGAAGTCACGAGAGAGAGAAGAGAGAGGACCTCATTCACACTTGAGTTGAGAAGGGAAAGAAAGAAAATTGAAATGGGGTCGCAGGAGAGTATTATGATGTTTCTTTGCTTGGTTCTTGTAAGTAGAGGGCTCGTTTGCATGGCTCAAGGCAAGGTCTACTATTATGATTTTGTAGTAAGACTCTATTTCTCGCCTTTCTTTTAGTTTTTATTGTTTTCTTTAATACCACATTTATTTTTTAAGCTCTTTTGAATAAAGAGTATTTTAGAAAATATGATCTTTTTCGGAGATAGTGCCGTTTGGACTATTGTAATCTACTTAACCAATCCCGACGCTCGAAGTACATGTGCCATATTCAAACTGGTCAATGATGAAAGTACAAAGATTGATTTATGAAGTTGATTGACAAAGAGATTTGGCATACTTTCATCGTATGTTTGGATACAATTTGTTGGCTTTACATACCCATTTAGAATTTGACACGTCGCTTTTCAGTCGAATTTCGTAAATTAATGTTTATATCCAGGGATAGATCCATCCGTTATAACGGTTTGCTTTTCAGTATACTGCTGTAGTATCTTAAATTTTAAATTTATCAATGATGTCCCAAGAAAATCTCTCAAAAATTCATTTAGAGCAGCTATTATTCCAAATTTTCCAGAAGTTTTGCCCCCATATTGAAGACTCTTTAATTGGCAAACTTAGGTTATCAACATGTGGTTGGGGTAAATAAAAGCAATCTATTCAATACTGTCCTAACCAATATTATTTATAAAATCAGTTTAAAAAACTCCAGTTTAATCTCTTAATACAATTATGGGAATAAGCAAAAATCCAACTTTGAATTCAAATTGACACTTTTTCTTCCATAGTGCCTTTCAATCTCAAATGGTCAATCATATGAAAATCCATGTTGCTAAAAAAGGGAAATGAACAATTTTAGTAAAAGAAAAGAACTGCCACTTTCTGTCCAATTTGTTGTTCTGCGTTTGATTCCTAAAAAAAACTGAAAACATATTTTTCATGGGCTAATAAAAATAGTAGAGAAAAAAGATTCGAATGTTGAGTAGTTTGGATTCATTTGCAGACGTATAATTCGATGTCTGTGATGTCTTTAAACCCTGATCGCTGCTCTATGGGGATGAAAACATGTAGCTGGAGGAGGCCAACTTCACGAGGTTGTGCAGCACGAAGAGCATGTTGACAGTCAATGGCAGCTTCCCTGGGCCGGAGATTCGAGTTCATCGGGGAGACACCGTCTTCGTCAATGTTCACAACCACGGCGAATACGGCGTCACCATCCATTGGTACGCGAAATCGACTCATCTGATTGTACCAGTCTAAGAATCAATCACGCACAGAACCATTCATGGCATTTTTCTCTTGAGTAGTCAAACCAGTTGATCAGTGGTTTCCTGTGGGTCATCCACCGAGATTCCCCATGAGGAAAACCAGACAGATCAAACAACCAGCATATAATTGTCGAATCAAACCTGGTTTAAGTGTTAGCTGTGACTGTAAATGGGTGAATTTATTTACCGGTATTAGGGGTCGCTTTTCTCTAACTCTGATTTCCAGGCATGGAGTTAGGGAGCCGAGAAATCCGTGGTCAGATGGACCAGAAAACATCACGCAGTGCCCTATCCCGCCTGGAACTAGCTTACTACAGGAAATCGATTTTACGACCGAAGAAGGAACGTTGTGGTGGCATGCTCACAGTGATTGGTCGCGAGCCACCGTCCACGGTGCCATCATCATTTTTCCAGCTATTGGTACCTCTTATCCATATACCTGGCCTCATGCTGAAGATACCATAGTTCTTGGTATACCCCCTTTTACCTTATTCTCTCTTTCATAACTTTGTCTATCTCCACCAAAGAAGTTAACACTCAAATCCATGTTTAGACCAAGAGTAGATACTCATAGTACTTTGGGACACACTTTCACTGGGAAAATTACCAAAAAAATCATAAACCCGTTGCACTTGTGCCAATTCAATCCTAAATCTTTTGACAATTTATCAATGCAGTTTTTCCGGCCAATTTGGACCGGAAAACGTTGATGTGATGGTCCAGTCAGCGTTGGTCGTCCTATGTGGCGTACCAACACTGACATGGACAAATTTTTAGATTTTTTTGTGAATTTTTTCCTTTTTTCTTTTTTTCTTTCTTTTTCCATTTTTTCGTTTTTCTTTCTAATGGCAGGCCACAAGCAAAAAGGAAAGAAAAAAAGGGAAAAAATAAAAAAAAAATTTAGAAAATTTTTAGACGACCCGCTGACTGGACCACCATGTCAGCGTTTTCCTATCAAAATTTGCCGGAATGACTATATTGGCACATTTTGAAAGGATTTAGGATTGAATTGGCACAATTGCAAGATTTAGGACTGAATTAGCATAAATGCAACATGTTTACGACACTTTTGGTAATTTTCCCCACCTTTCATTTGGGCCCACAGAACTTCAATTTTTTGTCCTCCAATCAATTCGCGAGCGAATTATCGATACAAAGTTTAGTGTATTGGTCTATAGAAACTGAAGTTCGGTGATCTTAAAATACATAGACAACCCACCAAGCAAGTCACCTCATTCAAGTTACACTTTCTCTAAGTTTTTTTTTTCGATGCAATGGTGAAAACATAACACCATTACAATCAATGAATGTTGGCAGCATCATGGTTCAAAGGCGATGTCATGGCTATAATCAACGAGGCCCTCGCATCTGGTGGAGATCCTAATAAATCGGATGCTTTCACAATCAATGGCCAACCTGGAGATCTCTATAATTGTTCAAGTAGTAAGAAATTACCGTCAATTGATTTCTCCAAGGATTGTTGACTCTGTTCTTTTCCTCAAGAGGAACAAAAGTGGTTGCTAATTTCAAAGTAACTGCAAATGGATTAACATAGCTAGTCCTTTTCTTAATTTGTAGATAGCACGTATCGTCTAATGGTCGATTATGGCAAGACGTATCTCCTTCGAATAATTAATGCGGTGATGAACGAAGAGATGTTTTTCGGGATCGCTAACCACAGTCTTACGGTCGTTGGGATGGATGCCGCATACTTGAAGCCCATAAAGACTAGCTACATTATGATCACTCCGGGGCAGACGATGGACGTCCTCGTGACGGCGGACCAGGCGCCGAGCCATTATTACATGGCCGGAAGCCCGTTCGCCGATACCATGGCCCCATTTGACAACACCACAACCGCGGCGATTCTTCAATACAGAGGCAACTACACACCCCCGACGTCGCCTTCTTTTCTGGCACTACCAGTCTACAACGACAAGTACGCCGCGATGAACTTCACGGTCCGGCTCCGGAGCCTGGCAAGCCGAGCTCATCCGGTCAACATCCCGAAGATAATCAACAAGAGGCTTTTCATTACCGTCTCCGTGAATATGATATTTTGCCCTAATGAATCGTGTGCAGGACCAGATGGGAATAGACTAGCTGCAAGCTTGAATAACATAAGTTTCCAGACACCAAAGATCGACATACTTCAAGCCTACTACAGGTGTTGACTAACATGATCAGGGCTAATTGCGCTTGTCTTTTCTCAGAGTTCGCCATTTCTAAGGGCTAATTGTGCTTGTCTTTGAGAATAACTAAATAACCATCTCTCGTGTAATTAGTTGATAATTATGGTATTGGATTATCGTGCAGGAGCTTGCCTGGAGTTTACAATGCTACCTTCCCGGACAAACCACCATACTTCTTCAATTTCACAGGAGATGTCGGGAACAACACGTTGTACACGGGACTGGGAACGAAGGTGAAGATGATAAATTACGGTGCCGCCGTTGAGATAATATTCCAAGGGACCAACGTCGGCGCCGCCGAGAACCATCCGATGCATCAGCATGGCTACAGCTTCTACGTGGTCGGGATGGGATGGGGGAATTTCGACCACGAGACCGATCCCAAGACATATAACCTAGTTGACCCGCCCGAGGTGAACACGTTCGGAGTCCCTACAAATGGATGGCTCGCGATTAGATTCATTGCAGACAATCCTGGTAAGCTCATGATCTCATGATCCTTTCTGTGCAGTAGACTATTTCCATTATCGAGAGAAGAAACTTTTGCCTATGAGGGATGTGTTTTAAAGCGAGGGTGGGTTTGGTGAAGTTAATGTGGTTGTGGGGTATACTTAATCTTAAAAAGAAGACGAAAATGCAAATCACATTGCGAAAATATGATTTAAAAACAAAGGACGTACCATTTCAAGAAAACAATTTCGAAGAGATGTGTATTTTCACGCATTAACATAGTCTATCGTCGTACGGATTGATGGGGCTATAACGCGAGGAATTGAAATCGCAGGTGTATGGTTCCAACATTGTCATTTGGAAAGACATACGAGCTGGGGGATGGACACCGTGCTCGTCGTGAAGAACGGCAACACTGCGGCGACCTGCATGCGGCCGCCGCCTCATTACATGCCTCCTTGTCACTAGTCCTCCCTGTTTAAGGAAATATTGTCACCTTGTTGTTACCTCCACTTGATATTTATCAACGCAACTTATAGAGTTTTTCCTGCGTGCGATTTGGCTAAGAGGGTGTCCTCCTCTTTTGTGATGTCACTAGAGAATTCGAATTTGCCAAATTGAGATCCTCATGCATTAACTGGATTTCCTTTGGGGATTGATAACTGCTTAAATGCAACACCTCATAATCTTACCGTGAAAATTGATAACTACAGAGAGCCGACTCTCCAATCCACGATTTTTCTTAACTCAAATATTTTTTTGAATTTTTTATTTTTTGGAGTGAGAGCGAGTTTGGAAAAAAAAAAAAGAGGGAGAAAGAGGACGAAAAGAAAAAAAAAAGGAAAAAAATAAATAATAAATAAATAGAAATTCGAAAAATATTTAAATATTATTAAAAATTATCAACGTCAAACGCTGGCCTCGCCACGTAGGACAGCCGGCATCCATGTCAGCGATTTCCAGCCAAAATTGGCCAGATGGATTGAACTGGCACAAATGCAAAATGTTCAGGACTCAATTAGCCCAAAAAAGAAGAAGTTTAGGACCGAACGAGCACAATCACAATAGATTTACGACTTTTTTTCGGCAATTATCCCGAGCACGCGGGAACGCCTGTGGCGCAGATGTTAGATGTCTTCCATTCTCCCACGGGTTAATTCGTGGGCCGAAGAAAAGGAAGTAGACCGGGCGATCTACCGTCGTCATCTGTCGGTCAAGCAAATCTTCAGAAGTTCGCTCCCGTGGCAACGGTCCGCAAAAGTTACCGCGAGGGTTTCGTGCCTTTTCCGTGGGCGTCCCTCTTTTCATTTTCTAATCTGTGTTTTTCGTCGCTCGTCCAAACTAGAGGAAGGGAAGAAACATCAGTAAAGCGTAGAAAGATACCTTTTTTTAGGTGGAGACTTTTCTATTTACCTGGTTTCCAGGAGGAGGTGATGAGATTGAAAATATTATGTCCACGACGGGATTCGCACGCGACGTTTGTTCTATGAAAAGCACGGCACTTATTGTTTCGCAGAAAATCAATGATTTGGAAAATATTTATCTAAACTTAATCGCTCGAATATTAACCAATATAATTTTTTTTTCATGATCAACAATAATTTATGACAATTTCTTTTTTTTTATTTCTGAGAGCTATACGAGCTATTAGTTTTAAGAAAATATTTTCCAAATAATTCGTTTTTAGCAAAACAAATGAACTCTTTATAAGGAATTATTTTGTAGTTGAAGACAAACGTGATTCTTCAAAAACAGGAATAATCCATTATGTCAATGAATTTTTTTATAAGTATAAATATGATTTTATGTATCTATATAATTATTTTAATTCATTAGATGGAAATCGATGCCAAACTTTTCTTTTTAGATATCCTCCTATAACTAATGGCATTTCTATTTAAGTGATATTTTTTTGTAGGTAATTTTTTTTTTTCAAGTGACTCGCTCCTGTATCTCTTGAAAAGACTACTTGATAAGTCAATGATTCCCGGATGCTATTCACCAGTTTAGGTGTTTCTTCTTTCATATGATTGAGAAATTTATCTTAAATAAAAAAAAATAATTTCACAATGTGTAATTACAATAGGGTTTTTGTTCATGATTTTTTCATATTCTTTCGTCCTCGAGATTTCCTAATTTTGTCTAATGTTAGCAATAAGCTATTAATAACTTTTTTTGGTCGTTTGCCGATTGTTAATGGTCACCTATATGATATTTAAATTTAATTTTTTCCTCTCTCTGCTTGGTCCGACCGGCTGGTACCACATCCCATTATTTCCAAATATTATTAGATGAGTTCGGTGTATATACTAAATTGGATCTGGATCCCTAAAGATGGTGGGAACTATGTGAAAATCACATGAAATCCGCCATTTTTAATTATTCAGATTCAGTTTAATACATAAATACAATAAAAATCTCTTTTTTCTATGCTTGGAAATGGAGTTACTGTGTCGCTAGGGGTGTGTTTCTCCAGTCAAAGTATTCTTTTGTATACTAATTCCCATTTTTTTAAAACTGTTTTTCTTTTTTTCCTTTTTTAAAACTATTTTAGAAAAAAAATTGTTTTGCAAGTACTTTTACACCATCTTGGAAAGTAATTTAATTACAAATACTTCCAACCGTGGGTCCTCCGCCGTATGCCTATGCGGATTGTGCGATTGACTTTTTCAATTTTGCAGTTCTAGTAATTAAGTCCTTTTAGTTTGTATGATATGTGCAATCGAGTCCTCTTTGTCACTAATTCATTCGATAGATTGACGTCTCGCTTTACATTTGTTTTGTTATTTCATAAATAGAAAATCAAAGGAAACTATTCTAACCTTTGTAATTAAGTCCTTTTAGTTTTCGTATAAAATTTTTCTTTTGACCTTTTGAACATTTTCTAACTCTACATACTTTACGTATAAAGATCGAAATCCTCTAAATTTAAATAAAAAATCCCCATCTTCAAGTTATCATCTTGAGAAGTGGCTATATAACCTGAAAATGCAAGGGCCGTGTTTTGTCCTCTGTGTGCGTGCGTCCTCCATATGTGTTTAGGGTTCTCCCGTCGATTAAAATTAGGTCACGTGACGCGCATTGAATAGTGGATAAAGTGGAAATAGAAGATGGGGCCGGTACATGGATACGTTGTCCTTCTCCCTCAATTTTAATATAATAAATATTAAAAAATGTCCTCAAAATACTTGCTAAGCATAATTAATTGCACTTTGCAAGTATGAACATTTCCATTTGAAGTATGCCGCTCTTTTGAAATACGTTCTTTCTCAATTTTCTATATGCATTAGTATTTTTTTCGGTCGAATAAATGCATTAGTATGCATTTTTACTATTTTTAGTGATTTTATCTGGTGTTCCCGGGGCAAATTTTGTGAATATGAATCCTTTCATGTGCTTAAGGACTATGGTTGCTCAGACATAGAAAGGCCTTTTATTTTTTATTTTTTTTTATTTTTTGTTTTGTGTTTCACGTGCAATTAGTACCAAAACTTTTTGAATGATGAACATCCCCACTGTAAAATGTGGCACAGTATTCGAAAAATTAACATAAACGACGGGGTCACCAAGAGTTCAACATTCCTCCCTCACTTTCTTCGATGCCGAGCATGAAGTTGTACCTAAAGGTCTTGAGCCCCTCAACCGTGCCATGCATGGCGCTGAAGACGACCACGTGAGCCTTTTCTTGCGGTATCTAACACATACACTGGCACTATAACCATACTTCAAAACGCCCTCGTGCTGGAAAAAATCCGCACCAAATAGAGAGACTCCGAGACAGGCAGAGACAGAGAGGTTTTTGAGTTATAAAGGAGCGAGCCGCTTCTGTCAAATGGCATCATTCGAAACCAGTTGAAAGAGCAGCGACCGAAGCGCGGGTGGCCAGAATGGGTTCGTCTCTGTGCGAGCTCCCATGGCTTCTTGCTCTACTGGGTGGATTGTTGTTGCTCCTCCCTCGGGCTCAAGGCGAGGACCATTACTACACTTTCGTCGTGAGTTCGAGCACTTTGCTTATCTTTCTCTCGTCCATTTTTCGGCTCGTTTTCGATGCCGTCGTCGGCCGCCATTTGCTCCGTTTGCGTCTTTTTGGGGGCTGTTTGATGGATGTTTTTCGACCTCGTGTGTCTGCAGCTGCGAGAGACCAACTTCACGAGGATGTGCGTGACGAAGAGCATGTTGACGGTGAACGAGAGCTTTCCGGGGCCAACACTGTACGTCCGTAAGGGAGACACGGTCTACGTCAATGTCATCAACGAAGGATACTACGGAGTCACCATTCACTGGTAAGTCATCCGGCATTGTTCTGTTTTCCAAGTCGAATTCAAATGGGTTGAAAGTTTGGTGGCAGAGGGACAACATTCGCTGCTGGTCTGGCCAGCCGTCTGATTAATTAGACGCCAAGCCAAATGTGATCGCAGCTTATGCCGTGATTTCTTTCTTTGGAGTAATGCTAGATATGTGTAGTAGGCTTGATTTACAAATTCTGGATGACATTCTTATATGAGCAAGTTTATTTGGACGTTAGCACACGAAATATCGTCTGATCATTTTTCATGTTTTTCTTGTTGTACTTCTAGTATTATTGTTTTGGGTTAATACAGTAAAAAACCCTAAATTAGGCATACTGCGAGACCAATATCCCAAACATTGTTTTATGTCCGGAAAACTCCTAAATTGTGCCCGCTATGCCATCAACACCCCTAACTTTCTTGTGTAGCAAAAAATCCGGAACTTATACCGGCTTGACGAAAATACCTTCCTTCTACAATCAAAAACCCGAAATTTGGACTCTAACAAATTCCCACTGTATTCTAAAAGTTTGGTGATATTTGCATCATAGTAAACAAAGTTTAGGGTTTTTGGTAGTATATGGGGGAGGGTTTTTATGTCTTACTAATATAAGTTTAGGCTGTCAAATGCACAAAATAAAAATTTAAGGTATCGGTGTTTCGGCAGACAAAATTTAAGATTTTTGGTGATAGACATATGCTATTTTTGTTACGTAAGTACAAGTTTAGAGATTTTGGCGGCACAAAAGAAATTTTGGTTTGGGAAAGTAGCGTCACGATGAATTGATGATTGATGGGTGTAGTTCAGGATTTTTTTGGTGGTATTTTTCTTATTATATCGGGATGTGCGACCCAGGCATGGGAGGGAGAGACGTTTTCCGAAGAGCAGCTCCCAAAAGTTAGGTACGATTTTCTGACGGCCATAGGAACGTGGGTCCAACCAAAGACAATGAACGCACTATAATATTTTTTATTAAATTATTCATGTTTAACTAACTGCCTAACCTTTCGACCTTAATATTTCGTTCTCCAGTATATAGTATTGAACCCATTATGATATTTTAATTGAATTAATAAGTTTAGGTGGCAAGATCTCATCCCCATGTAGAGACAGTGACAAATGAGTCACAGCATCTTACTTATGTGGACTTCTAATCAAAGAATGTCTCGTCACTTAATAAGTGATTTATTATAAATTATCAACATCCATAGAATTAGTCAACGTATTATATTGA